CCCCGGAACTGCCTGACACCGAAGGAATTCCTTGGTCATTATCTTTGGCGTGGCATAACTTTAGGTTGCCAATAAGCACCTGTACAGAGCACTTTAAAAGCTCAACTTCTTAAGTATGAAGAAACAGTACATGTTGCAGTACCAAAGTTCCATTAGTCTTGTACCAGACACCTTGAAACCAGACGGTTACATGCAGAAACTCCACTGTCTGATTGGCAAAAGTGTAGATAGTATTCTGGGCCATTCCTATGTATGTCTAGTCGTGTGGCTCGTGTTTGGGTCCTTGTCCATTTCATCAGCCTGGTACCATAGAAAGGGCCTAATGTTTGTAGCCAGGTGCACGCTATGATGAGAACATTGGCTAGATACTATGTATGCCTTTCTTTAGTCTGTCAGAGCCCTGTGCTTTTAACATTACCCAGGATTTGAAGAGGAAACTTGGGAGTAGGTTCTATTAGGGAATTACACACTGGACTGTGAATTATTACGGAAAAAACTTGGAAGTCTTTCAACAACATTGCATTCTGAAACTTTAAGGCTCGTGGTCCTAAGAAGCATCTGAAGCGGGTAGCAGCTCCAAAGCATTGGATGCTGGATAAATTGACTGGCGTGTTTGTAAGTATCTTTATTTTTTGTAAGTGCCTTTGGGGGTACGTTTTACACCTTTTCTGTATAAGTTAGGGGGATAATATCTGTTGGATTACTCTGCTCCTGCAGGACCTGAACTACTTAGTTGCACCTCACCTTGCTTCACTCTTAAGTACATCTTTGTGCCTAGTTTATTTCACACCTGTAAGTGCCACACAGTACACTTACATGTATTCAGGTCTCTGGTATTATTATTTGTGGACCTGGTCCTTTGAAGGAGGAAGTGCTGTACATTTTTCTAAAATTCCATTTTTAATTTACAGGCACCTCGTCCATCCACCGGTCCCCACAAGCTGAGAGAATGTCTGCCTCTCATCATCTTCCTAAGGAACAGACTTAAGTATGCCCTAACGGGTGATGAAGTAAAAAAGATTTGCATGCAGCGCTTCATTAAGATTGATGGCAAAGTCCGAACTGATATAACCTACCCTGCTGGTTTTATGGGTAAGTAATGTGGAGGACCCTCCTGCAGTGTTACTCTTGATTGTTTTCTGTTGGTCTTCAAGATAGCAGTTGTATCAAATAGTGAGGTTTTTCCATATCCAGTAATACCTGTGTGTCTAGGAATGTGGCACCCTGCTGAGGCACTCTACAGAGTGAGAAGTGTGGCCTGTGTTCTTCTTTTTTTTTTTTTTTTTGCCTGTTAAAGGCTGAAGAGGGAATTTGTGTGTGCCCTGAATGTTTTTACTTAAATACTGTAGAGCTGCTAGCAATCATTAGTCACATCTCAAAACTTTGCTTGGAATTTTGCAAAAGTCTAAAAATGCGGCTTGCTTACTTAAACAGTTGTGGTTGCTCAACAAGGTAATGAGGGTCACTGTAGTGACTGGTCACTTATCTATCAGATGTTATCAGCATTGACAAGACTGGAGAGAATTTCCGTCTGATCTATGACACCAAAGGTCGTTTTGCTGTTCACCGCATTACACCTGAGGAGGCCAAGGTGAGTGTCACAAGAAAACTGGGTCTCTGCTTTCTAAGATTACTTGGTAGGAAAAATAAAATCACTTTAAGAATTTTTATTTGTCTTTTAGGATAAAGGATCAGAAAATCAGCCTGGTCCAATCCAGTTTTTTACCCTTTGCCACATCTCCATTTGTGGATCTGGTTTTTACATTGGGGAAGGGAAGGCATTAAGAGACTAATGATCTTTGAGACACTAGTTTGAGAAAATTCAAAAAATAGTTGCAGTCTGGTTGTTTAATTCAGTTTGTTGTGATGGCTTTTCACAAAAGTTCTTGAATTCGCTGTAAGTGAAAGTGAACTCATTTGAGTGCTGCCTTGGGCCAGTGGGTATGTCCAATGGCCTCTGACGATTTGATCTGCTTTGAGGATATCAGGAAATAGAAGTCTAAAATTGAAAGGCTTTGTAGAATAGTTGATTAGATGAACTGGTGGTATAATTATATTTGTGAGTCAGAATTTGGTTGTGATGTAGAGAGAATCATTGAGACCTGGAAGGAGATCAGAGTGATTTGGAGGGAAGAATACCTAGAGCTCACTACTGGACTTGAAGAGCCTGAGGAAAGGAGTGGGATTTAGTTCCAGAATTATAGTGGTGGATATTGGAAGTTTAATGTACTTCTTGGGGAGAGATGGGGGAGCTCTTTAGTGCCTTGAGGTTTTAACGTGGAGGTGATGCAGTGATGGGAGGAAAATAAGTATTAGGAAGACTAACCAAAAACAGGGCAGTCTGCACTTAATGGAGCTGGGAGGAAAAGTTAGAGCCACGGCCATTCTGTTGCAGTCCAGGAAACCCAGTCTTGTTGCCTCTAGCTGCTAACTGCATTTTCAAGCCAGTGACTTGTGTCTTGGGAAAAAAAACTCATCTACTGTGGAATGTAGCACACATGAACTACACTAACATGGCTAACCCTTTGTTTCTAGTATAAGTTATGCAAAGTAAGGAAGATCTTTGTGGGCACAAAAGGAATCCCACATCTGGTGACCCATGATGCTCGCACCATTCGCTACCCTGATCCCCTCATCAAGGTGAATGATACCATCCAGATTGATTTGGATACTGGCAAGATTACTGATTTTATCAAGTTTGACACTGGTAAGCAGCCTCCTTGCCTGTCAGGCCTCATTAAGGCTATGTAGATGAACTGTTCCTCTTTAAGATAGCTAGGTAACCTGGACTGGCTTTGATTGAACTTGTGATCTTCCTGCCTCTGCCTCCAGAGTGCTGGACTTTACAGACATGCCACCTCTCTGGGCTCTCTCTTAATCTAAATTTAATTGAGCATTATGAATCATGTGGTGTCTGGGTATGAGTAGCTTGCTGTTTATTTTGTTTTTAAGCCATCTGCTTCTCACACACACACCCTTTACAGTTTTTACTTTCAGAGATCAGTATAAAATTCATTTTCAGGCCTGTTACAGGTGTCTCAAAAGCTCTTACCATGGGAAAATTTGAGGGCTGGGCAAGAAAGCCAGCCTGATTTTGATTTAGCCTTCCATAATGCTGACTGAAGTCTGTCAGTAACAATAATTATAAATTGTGCCTTGAAAGATCAGTAGTCGGGCAAGAGATGTTAAGGACCTGACCATCTTCAAGGTGAAATTTACATTAGTTATTGTCCAGTGAGGGATGGGGAAAACTTAAGGGGGCTTGGAAATACACAACATCCAAGCTGGGCATAGGGGTGCATACCTGTCATGCCAGGACTAGCAGGAAACTGAGACAGGAGACTCGCTGCAAGTTCAAGGATAGCCTGGAGTACATAGACTGTCTCAAAAAAGCAAAACAAGGGACCAGGGATTTAGCTCAATGGCTCAAGCGCCTGCCTGGTAATTGTGAGGTCATGAGTTAGATCTCCGGTACAAAAAAAAAAAAAAAAAAAAAAAAAAAAAACCGCAAAGCAAAAAGGTACAAATTCATAGAAATAAGTTCAACTGGGAATGGGTGAATAAGCTTATTGATACATGACTGCTCTCTTACCCCAGAATGGAATCCAGGGCCTTATGCATGCCAGGCATGCACTTGTATATGGATTTATACCCTCAACCTCTAAGCTTGGTTATTTTAGGTGTTTTTTGTTTTAGACATGGGATCTCACTGTGGTACCCAAGCTCAGTTTAAATTCAGTCCTCCCCCTTCAGCCTTCCTAGGTACCTGGGCTTATTGGTGTGTATCACCACACCATCTGTGAACTTCTTCATAGAAATTCATCTAAGCTGTTTTTGATTTGTTACTTTGGGTTGTTAAACTTGGCTTGTTATCTTGTTTGAAAGATGATTTCTTCTGCCTAGGTAACCTGTGTATGGTGACTGGGGGTGCCAACTTAGGAAGAATTGGTGTGATCACCAACAGGGAAAGACATCCTGGTTCTTTTGATGTGGTCCATGTGAAAGATGCCAATGGCAACAGCTTTGCCACCCGGCTCTCCAACATTTTTGTTATTGGCAAAGTAAGTCTGGATTTTCCTTCTAAGGTTTCGGGAAAAGTATGTTAAGTGCACACAGAGCTGACTGGACTCAGTCAATGTGGCCTTTTTCTGTGTCACAGAACTACTACATGGCCTGATCACCTTGATTAATGAGCAGTACCAGTAATGGAATATTTCTCAGTCAGGTCCTTAACTGATTTGTGGCTTTCTTTTTATTGGAAATTAATAATCAGCCTTGGGTACTACTTAACTGTGACTCAGTGTCACAGTGCCTGCTGTGTGCAGTAAGCCTGTAAGAGGTTAAGGGGTGCTGTTTTTCACATCTGCTATGACTGAGCATCATCAAACCAGCATCTGAGTGAGTCCCACGACTGCCCAGCTGGTGGCCAGCATGATCAACACACTTCTGTGCCATAAACAAAATGGAAAATATAACCTGTGCTGTACTGCTAGTAGAGTTGATACCTGGCAAGGATTAATTCTGGTTTTTTCCTTCAGGGCAACAAACCATGGATTTCTCTTCCCCGGGGAAAAGGTATCCGCCTCACCATTGCCGAAGAGAGAGACAAGAGGCTGGCAGCCAAACAGAGCAGTGGATGAAATGGTCTCTAGGTGACAGGAGGGGCATCATCTATACTCAGTAATACAGCATGATGACATGCTTTTGGTTTTGTGCTGTCTTTAATTTACACATCTTACTTTGTAACATGAAAGGCTTAGGCAGTCTTTGGGTTCCTCTTGCATCTCAGAATATACCAGATTTTTTTCTCCTCTTGCCTGCTTTATTGCATGAACCCAACCTTGGGGCTGTTCAGTATACTTTCCCCACCCCTGTGCCCATCTGCCAAATTCAATTCTGGATGCCAATGAGAGTCATAAGTGTATAGGTGATACAGAGACATTTATTTGGATAGTATACATCATTCTTTACCTGGTAAGATATATAAATGACTTTCCGGGCTCTCACCTACTGTATCTTACAGCCCCTCACAGTTGTAACAGCCAAAAGTAACTGTAGTGAGTTCCTGACCTCTGAACATTTGAGTCTTGAACTTTCACAGATAGGAATGGACCTCAGATTACAAACAAATCACAGAAGTAGTACATGTGTCTGCCAGACATTGTCACAGTTGTGATGTTCTCCTGGAACAGAACTCATTCCTAAGAGGACTTAACTTAATACAGAAGTATGCCATGAAAAGCAAAAGTACCCTGAGTTAAGGGCCACTGCTCTCTATAGGTATAGCTCACCATCCCACCATGACAGAGTTAGAGGAAGAGTTGTGTTCTGGGCATCATCACCTAAGAAATGTTACATATGGAATCAGTTTGCATGCGTTGTTTAGCCAGGTTTGTTAAATGGTTATCCAGATGTGGCAAGTAATGGCAAATCACCACGGCACTGGGTTGAAGCAATGTGTTCACCCATAGGCTGTGCCCTGGGCTCTGTTAGGGTCTATAAAACACGTGGTTCTGCTGGAGATCCTGAGCAGCATCTAAACCAAACTAATTGGTTGAAGAAAGGGTGCACAGAGCTTTTCTGCTTCCTCTATTGTGGACATCACATTGTAGAGCCCTGGGGTCTCCTGTGTACACTAGGGGAAAGTGAAGTATACAGGAACTGAACCCAGGCAAATGTGATGGGATAAGTGGGCTCCAAAAGTAACCTCAAACAGATGTTGGATAAGCATGGTTCTCTTGGCCAAGAGAATGGAGCTCATCTAAGCACCTCGTTCTGAAGAAAGCCCATGTCAGAGCTGACCTTATGATGGATGCCCTAGAGGAATAAGTTGAGGTTGGAAAGCGGGAGTGAGGCTCCAGCCAGTAATGTGGCTGTAGAGCCCCTGAATGTGATGAGCTCTTAATGCTTGGTTATATAAGGGCTGAATTCAGTCCTCAATGCCACAAAAAATAGAGGAAAGATTTATGTGGCATTTTATACTTTATAAAACGATTTGTTGCTAGGGATTAAACCCAGAGCCTCCAGCATGCTAGGTACACTCTACCACTGGTCTATGCCCTCAGTCCTTTTGACATTTTGATAACTCAAATATTACGTTGTCATGAAATCAACAGAAAGTGATGTTCACTTCCCTCCCTTGTCCCCAATGATTATCTAGTCTTTACCCTCATGTCATGGCAAATTTCCATATCTACAAAACCAAGGGATTTTGAGAGAAAGCATGAAATATTTTTAGGTTACATATGCAATAAAAGCTATACAGAAAATTTAATAGGCCTGTGATACATTGGTTCTAGGTATTTTAGTTTTTAGACTGAGACTTATAAAAAGATAGGCCAGCTAGATATAATGGTATATGTCTAAAATCCCACCACTTGGACTGAGGCAGGAAGATTGAAAATTCCAAGTTCAGTGAAGGCCCTTGGGTTCAATCCTTATGAATAAAAGATACATCATGATCAGCAAGTTGATACAGTCCTACAGAAACTAGACACCTGAAGATCTTGTCCTTACCTGGGTGCTAGCTCTTCATTTCTTTTAAACAATTGTTTCAGACCTACTTTTATTGCTATTATGTATATCATAGCCAGAATATTTTTGTAATGTCTAACAAACACTTGAAAGTTATATTTACTTATTCAAAAGATACTGGATTCCTCACCTTTTTTGAGAGAGAGGGTCTTACTATTTAGTTACCTTGAATTTATGTAATCTAGGCTCATCTTGAACTGGCAATGCTGCCTCAGCCTCCCAAGTGTTGGGGTTACAGATACACACTGCCATCACACAGATACTGTTTTATCTCCCAAGAATGTTTTCCCCCTCCCCCATTCTATATTGCTCTGGGTGGCTTTCTACTCACAGTCTTCCTGCCTCAGCCTCCTGAGTAGCTGAGATTATACTAGGCTCCCTCCCCTAATTTTATTTTTGGATGATTCTTAACCATCCTTCAGGTCTCAACTGAGAGATTTTTCATTTTTGGTACTGGGACTTGAACTCAGGACCTTGTGCTTGAAAAGCACACAAGCCTTGAGCTGTATTGTTGGCCCTGTATTAAAATTTTTCATTTCAAAACTACATTTTTGAAAGCTTTTTTTTCTTTTGATGTTTTGAGACAGTCTCCACATAATTTAGGGCGGTCTTAAACTCATGGCCATCCTCCTAAGTGCTAGGATTACAGGTATCCACCATACCTGGCTCCATTAAACTGATGTTACAAGTCTCCCTACTATCTAGGCCCCTTACCAGCACACAGTGGGTACTGAGCAGTTTTTCTTGTGCTTGAGGGAACAAAGTCAAAATGTCACCTGATACAGTCAGCATTGAATAGATGGAAATCAACCATCCTGCAAAATAATCCACTTTAATGGTTGGTATGTATTAATAAACCAGTGAGGTAAGGATACTCCAGGTCTCTAGTGACTGGTATATTGGTACAGGCTGGGAATCTGCCAGATATAAAGACAGTGATAATGCAAATTGTAACCTAATTGCAAGAGAGGATGCTATACAAACAGGAAGGCCTTGTATGCCTGAGTCTTGGAAAGATTTTAGATAAAGGAACACAGTTTCTGTGTGATCATCATTGTTTTCTACAGCCCTTTGTAGTTTACAAAGCACCCCCTGTTGTTACCTCAGTGCATCGCCATGAGGACCCCACAGAGATGACACTTATTTGCCATTTTACAGATAAAAATCCCCACCCTGGGGCTGGGGATTTAGCTCAGCGGCATAAGTGCCTACCTTGCAAGCAGGCAGTCGTGAGTTCGATCCCCAGTACCGATAAAAAAGGAAAAAGACCAAAAAAAAATCCCCACCCCTTCCTCAAAGCCCACAGGAACAAGATTATGAACTCTGAAGTACCTGTAGGGCAGACACATGGTACTCACAGTGACCTGGTAGTAAACCACCCACTTGTTCATCTCATTTCATGCTCTTTCTATCAGCTTTTGGATTAGAAATAGTTGACTCAGAAGACCCCAAGGTGGGTAGCCTGATGGGAGAGCAGATTATTGTCAGTTGACTCCATTCAACCAGCATTTATTTATGATTGATTCCTCTTTATTTTGGTACTGGTAATCAAACTGATGACCTCATGCTTGCCAGGTATGCACTTATGCAGCTGAGCTAAATCCTTAGCCCAATCGATTGATGATTAGGACAAGGTCTCATTAGTTGAGGCTAGTCTTTCACTATGTAGTCTAGGCTGGCCTAGAATTTGTGGTGATCTACCTTAGCATCCTGTGTGCTTGAGATTATTCACATGCACCACCACACTCAGCCAACAAGTGTTAACTGAACAATGTCTATAGCCCAGTAGAGTGCTAAGAGTTGGGGATACAGAAGAAAATAAAATATAGGGCTCCTATCCGAACACAGTGACACATGCCAGTGGTTCTAGCTACTCCAGAGACTGAGGCAGGAGGATCATTTGAGCACAGTCTGGGCAAAATGAGACATATGTCTCAAAAAAAACCCATGAACATAGAACTCTTTCAAATGAATTATAATAAAGGGTGGTAGATGCTTTGAGAAGGGAGGGAGATAAGGCATTTTTCAGGCCCAAAGAAGGGCTGTTTAGTTGGGCCTAGTGTGATGCTTGCCTGAAATCCCAGCACTCAGGGAGGCAGAAGAAGATTGCAATTTTGAGCCCAGGTTGAGCAGCAGTTTGTCTCAAAAACAAAACAAAGTAGCTGAAGTTGTAATTCAGTGCAGTGACCCTGTGTTCATCCCAGTGTGACAAAGGAAAAAAAAGGCCTATGTCTACACTAGTGTGGAAGAAGGTAGGAAAAGGGTCTTAACAAGACATAAAAAGGGTGGAGAGATTAGAGAATGAAGAGAAAGATTTTCCAGGAAGAGAGCACAGAATCAGCCTTAGGAGGAGTCTGTGTGGCAAGTAAAGATGAGGGAAGAGGTGAGGTGAGGATGGGGAGCCATAAAGTCCAAATTAATATGAAAACCTCATGGTAATAACTTCCAATATGGTAGACATGTAATTGCTAGTTTTACATGTAAAAACTTTATAATTCAGTCCATAATTTTATACATTCACCTTACATGTCAGTGAAAAATAAACTACTATGAAAGTAGAACAACTTAAATCACAAAAGAAACAAAAAATAGAAAATATTTCATAACATTCCAACTTTGAAATTAATTGCTTCCTTGATGTCTTTACATCTACTTCTCTGTACTTATGTACAATACATTGTTTCCTTGGATGAGTACATCCCCATACTTATTCTTCAGTTGTTCATTTACATATGCTTCTGTTTTAGGGCTATATTCATACAGCTAATCCAGGCAAGCCAGGACCCCTCAATAGTCCACTCTTCAATTTAATTTAAACACAGCTGGCTGTCTGATGATTTAGTTTAAGAGGTCACGGGGTTTGCTTCCACAGATTTCATTTTTGTTGTTGGTTCCAGAGATCAAACTCACAATCTTGAGCTTGCCAGGCAGGCACTTGTACCACTGAGCTAAATCCCCAGCCCCAGTAGATTCATTTTAACAATCTTGGGAAGCAGGAAACTGATTTCTAATTCTAGCTGTGCTACTTAATTAGCTGTGTGACTTGAACAACTTATTTCACCTCTCATGGCCCCATCTCGCAGCTGGGACCCAGAACCCTACACCAGGCACCTCATGAACCTGGCCTCTGTGGACCTATTAATGTAATTATGAATCATTAGTTGATGGAATCAGTGCTAGTTTTAATGTGACTTTCTTGCAGTGCTAGGGATGGAACCCAGGACCTTCCTTGTACATGCTAGCCAGGTGATCTACCACTGAACCTCACTAGCCCCAGGTCCTGATAACTTATGATAACCAGATCCAACTGACAACAAATGATTAAAGTAAATGTATAAGTGAAAAGGTTAGGCACAGTGGGGTGTGTGCTTATAGTCACAGCATGTAGGAGCAAGGAGCTTGAGGCCTGAGGCTCATGAGATCAAAGACAGCCTGGGCAACACAGTGAGAGCGTGCCTCAGAAAAGAAACATAAGCACTGATACAGTGGCACATGCCTATAATCTGAACACTGGGATGCTGAGGCAAAAAGCATTGTACATTTGAGTTTAAGAAGACTCCTGTCGGGGCTGGGGGTTTAGCTCAGTGGCATAAGCACCTGTCTTGCAAGCAGGCGGTCGTGAGTTCAATCCCCGGTACCAATAAAAATGAAAAAGACAAAAAAAAAAAAAAAAAGAAGACTCCTGTCTCAAAAAAGTAGGTCTGAGGATCTGGGATCTGGCTCTGTGTAAAGGCCCTGGGTCAACCCTTAGTCCAAAAAAAAAAGGCCAGGGCATGGTGACACCTATAATCCCAGGGTTTGGGAGGCTGTGGAGGATCACTGTGAGTTTGAGGCTAACCTGGGCTATGTAGTGAGTTCAAGGCCAGCATGAACTACATAACCAGACCCTGTCTCAAGCCAAAAATCAAAGTAGTTAGTACAGGGAAAACTAGAACTTGGGTGCCTTATCCTTCGTATTGTTTGGTACAGTCTTTACTTTGAATCACATGATAATGGAAATGTAGCATTAAGAATGGGATGGGAGGGGATGGGGATTTAGCTCAGTGACATAAGCACCTGCCTTGCAAGCAGGCAGTCGTGAGTTCGATCCCTGGTACTGATATGTGGGAAGCCGCCTATGATGGCGCCCATTTCCTGCTTCCGGGTTCTTCCCGGCCTGAACAAGCCCGCCAAATTGTCATGTCTGCCCAGTTACCCGTGACGCTAGCCTATCAGCTTGTTAGGCGCGCTTCTCTGTGATTGGATACTGCTTCCCCTTATAAGAGGTTGTTCCTGCCCCCAATGGGCGGAAGAGGAACCAACGTTGAGGGTGGCGGGCCTTGTCAGGTCCGGTTCGCTGTACGTAATAAAGTTTGAGAGCTGATCCTGCTCGAGTTTGGCCTCCTGTCTCCCGCGGTTCCGGTCATCTGGTGGCCCCCGTACGGGGAATAAAAGACTCAGCGACGTGCCTCTTCAGCCGGGAGGTGCGATTGCTGTCGCCTGCGGTACGACGGAGGACCTGGCCCAATAACAACGGAAGGCCGCGAGCACCTCTTCTCTTCACCCTGATCAGCTACGTGAGATACAGCGTTTCCCGGGACAGGTGAGTACTGGGTCACCTGGGTTGGGTGGACGCACCTAACAGATTTTGAGTGCCACACGAGTGGACGCCGGTTTTTTTTTTCTTTTCTTTTCCCTTTGCATCTGTTTTGCTTTCGCTTCGCTAATACAGCCCGACAGGCTTTTGATAGAGCTCGATCGGAATGCTCAGAGGAGCCCGGAGCCACTGCCGATTGTGGGTCTCCGGAGGACCCTCAGGGCTCTAATTCTGATTCTGATTCGGAAGGTTCAGAAGAGGAGGTTGTCTTCGCTAAACAGGACCCTCCTGCACAGCTTAAAGAGGAATTCAGGGCTCGGGAAGATAAAAAGGGGAACCAAACACCCACGATCACCCCCTTCAGGGCGCCAGGCCCCACTAAGCCCTTCCGCCCTTTGGCAAGTTCGCGAATTCAGGGCTCGGGAAGATAGCACCGCCGTGGCCGGAAGAGGAGTTGCTCCCTGGGCTGCCACCACAACCTATGGCACCGCCCTGGTTAGAGGGAGAGCTACTTCCTGGGTTGCCTTCTGCGCCCCCATCTGGGGAGGGAGGAGGACGTTCCTTCCACCAGAGGGTATGGTCGCGGCTTCCCTTTGAGTGTCCCGGTCTCCATGCATTCCCGGTACAAGTAGGAGGCAGGGGAGGAGGAGGATATTATGAGCCCTTAGAAATTAAACAACTTAAAGCTATCAAGGACGCAGTTTCAGCTTATGGGCCCAATGTGCCATTTACCATGGCGCTTTTAGAGGCATTGGCAGGTCTGCTTTTAACTCCTGGAGATTGGACCCAGCTGGCACGCGCCTGCCTCTCCCCCGGACAATATTTAGATTGGAAGTCCTGGAATGAGGAATTCTGTGTAGAGCAGGCGGCAGCCAACAGGGAAAATAACCAGAGAGAGTGGAACAGGGATATGCTATTAGGGCGAGGAGCCTTTGAGGAAGATCAAACTCAATACCCTCGCCAGGTTTATGAACAAATTAGCCGCTGTGGCCTCCAGGCCTGGAGACGGCTGGCTGGAAAGGGAGAACATACGGGTCACCTTACAAAAATTATACAAGGGCAGGGAGAGCCATTTTCAGACTTTGTGGCCCGCATGCTTGAGGCCGCTAACAGGATTTTTCCAGATGCTGAGGCGGCTCACCCTCTCATAAAACAATTGATTTTTGAACAGTGCACTAAGGAGTGCCGTGATGTCCTAAGAACTAACAAAAATAGGTCCTTAGAAGAGTGGACACGCCTGTGCCGTGAATTGGGTGGCCACGGCCTAACGCCCAAAGGAAGAATATCATTGGCACTCTTTACCATAAATTTTTTAAACCTTAATCATAATAATCATTCCCCTGCCATGGAGCACAATAACCCGTCCCCGGCCGACAAAGGGCTGGTGAGATGGAAAGATGTCCTTACAGGACAATGGATGGGCCCGGATCCAGTGGTTAGCTGGACCCGAGGTGCGGTTTGTGTCTTCCCACAGGAACCAGGCTGCGAACCGCTGTGGGTCCCGGAAAGATTGACGCGAGCAGTAAACTCCCCACCAGTTCCTGATAAAGCACAGGAGGATAAGCCCGCGGACACAAGTCAACTCGACCCTTCTGGGACCGACGCTCAGCGCCCGAGACCATCTACAAACTAAAATGTCTGGTTTGGAGCCTTTTCTATTCTGTGGGTTCCTATTAATCACCCCTGTCCGCACAAATTTGACCAACACTGTTAAAAATATGACAGCTTGGCTGCAAGACACCTACCTACCTAAGTTTCACAATTTGTCCCTCATAGTCGGTCAGGAACTTGACAATATGGACGGTATCCAACTAGGTCCAGTCAGGTTCGATTTATCAACTTTAGGCAGTGTTATAGCCAGTTTGTGGGAATGCGTCACCTCCTGGTTCTCCTGGCCCAACCTGACTACTTGGATCCTGATTGCCGTGGCCTTCCTAGTGGGGTTTGTGGTTATTAAATGCTTGTTAGATCGCATCATACAAACTCAGCAGCAGGTTAAGATCACAGCTATGGCAGCCATGCAAATGGCAGCAGGTGGCCCATCAGGCCAGCAGGCCGCCGCATATCTCCTTCACATTGCAGAACATCAGCTATAAGAGCTGAGTGGGCAAGCCAATGACGGGTAAGACGGGAAAAGCCCTCCCAGTCAACCTAAGACAGGCTCCACTCAGATATATATGGCCTATAAGGCCAGGGGTCCCTCCCGGAGTCAAATTATTGGCATTGAGATGCGAGACCAAGGGTACTGCAGTGCCATCCGCCCCAAAGGTTGGGGGGAAGGCAGGAATGAATGTCTATATGCATCCAGGTTCGGTTCACAAAAGCCTGGCCCTGCAAAAAAATGAACCACTCACCTTGAGCATGGTCCTGGCGCAAGGATATGCACAAAACAGGGTGATGCACAGCAGGGTATAGACCTCTACATTCTCTCATGCCTCGGCCTACAAGGTAGGCCCACTCCTAGGTGTCTAACAGCAACAAGGTCATAGACACCTTGGAGGGACCCACAGACCATCCTATTTTAATAAATAAAAAAGGGGGAGATGTGGGAAGCCGCCTATGATGGCGCCCATTTCCTGCTTCCGGGTTCTTCCCGGCCTGAACAAGCCCGCCAAATTGTCATGTCTGCCCAGTTACCCGTGACGCTAGCCTATCAGCTTGTTAGGCGCGCTTCTCTGTGATTGGATACTGCTTCCCCTTATAAGAGGTTGTTCCTGCCCCCAACGGGCGGAAGAGGAACCAACGTTGAGGGTGGCGGGCCTTGTCAGGTCCGGTTCGCTGTACGTAATAAAGTTTGAGAGCTGATCCTGCTCGAGTTTGGCCTCCTGTCTCCCGCGGCTCCGGTCACTGATAAAAAGGAAAAAGACGAAAAAAAAACATGGGATGGGAACAGGGGGCCAAGGTAAAGTCCATATTGTCAGTACTGGCCTCAGCCAGTGGAGGAGGTATCATTTACATCATTTGGAGCACTAGAAAAAAGTCTCAGATGGTTTGAGAGACAGATCCACAGTTGGATAATGGGATGAGACTGGACAGGAACCCACACGGCCTGCTATCAGAGCTTCCCTAAAGGGTAGAAAAAGTTTGTGTCTTGTGATTCTGGATGGGAGTTTCCTCAGAATGAGCCTTAGTGGTCCCAGTTAAGGGATCTATGTTTTTGTGCAATTAGCAAGGGACCCTGGTGGCAGGCCCCAAGCCAGGATGATTGAGGCCAGAGTAAAAGATAACTCAGAGGCTGGGCCTTGGCCTTGGCCATTTGCTGGGATAAAATGTGTTTGCAATCAGTGTGCCTATGGTCAGGCTCGGACAGGGAGGTCTGTCCTGGCCAGCAGCCAAGCCAGATGTTTGCTGTGATTCCACAATACAAACCTCAGCAACTCCTTGGTATGCTGGGAGTTCCATGTGCCATAGTTACAGCTAGCTTCATCCTGTAACTCAGAAGATTTTCAAAAGGCAGGTCTGATCCAAGGCAGAGCTAGTGGGGCAGGAGATTTGCCTCCCATTGCTTCACCGCTTCAGTTGGGCCCCTTTCCTTGCACATTACTGTCTGCCTTCTCCACATCCAGAGGTTCCCTGTCTTGCTGCAGCCTTCCCCATTCCCAGCACTTCTGCTGTGGCCTCCTGACATTGTCTTCATTTCCTCCTACCTAATATGAAGGCTGAGCCCCTTGCTTCTCGTGTCAGTCTAACAAAGGCCCATTCACCCATTGCAGCTCCTCTTATCTTAGCTCCACTGTGAAACTTCTCCAGCTTGCCTGAAAAAAGAAGGTTGAGGAAGCAGGCAGTGCTCAGGGAGCATCTATTGCCAGCTGTGCAGCTTGGGGTTTGACATAATCACTTCATTAAATCTGAGAGACAGCGAGTATGTGTTGAGTTTCAGCTCAGTTCCTGCCCTGCCCTTTTCAAAACAGGGTCTTGCTGTGTTGCCCAGGCTGGCTTTGAATTTTGCGTTGCTCTTGCCTTAGTAGCTGACACTACAGTTATGTGCTGTCAAATCTGATGAACCCAGGAGGCCAGCATGGACAGCACAGCAAGACCCTGTCTCAAGGAAAAAAAACCCATTTGCAGTAGTCCCATGAACTAGAGATAAAGAAAGGTGGATTCAAAGGGGATGGGAAGCATTTGGCCCAAGGTCACTGTCTTAGTTTCATTCTCATTGCTGGGATAAAATACCAGGCACCCACAAGTTACAGTGGAAGTTTATTTAGCTCAGTCTGTAGAGCTTTCAGTCCATAGTCAGCTGTCTCCAAGGAAGGGTGGCCTCAAAGAGGGGCATCCCAGAGAAAACAGTGTGGGATCAAGGGAAGAGGAATATTTAGACACCTTTCCAGGCTGTGCCCATAATGACCCATCTCCTACCAGGCTTCACCTCTCAGCATCATACATACCCTGTTATAAACCATCAGTGGACTAATCCAGTATCACACTCCCATGATCCAATCACTCCTAAAAGCACCTATGAGCACATGAAGTTTTGGATGTTCATTTACATAAAAACTGACAGTGACACAGCTAAGAACTGTAGGGATAGAACTGAGCATGGTGTCATCTATATCATCAGCACTTGGGAGATTTAGGCTGGTTGATTGTGAGTTTAAGACCATTCTGGACTACACAGCAAGCAAAATCTTGTCTCAAAGAAAGCAAAACCAAAACAGGCAGGGATGTAGCCCTACCTAGGTGAGTTCCTAAGAATTTAAATTGTCTACATTTCATATGCTTTGCTTTCTCCGATACCTTGTATGATCATCTTTGACTCTTCTCTTCATCCCACCCCATCCATGTTCAATTCATCTGCAAGTATCATAGGCTCCATGTTCAGAAAGTATCTAGAATTTACCATTTCCAACCATCACCAAGGTTGCCACCCTGATACAAAACCCTGCCATCTTTCACCTGGATGACTGCAGTGGCACTATAACGGTTCCTTTGCCCTACACTTTCTCACTGATGGTCCCCTGCCCCTCCCCTCCTCAATCTATCCACCACATAGAAGCCAGAGGGATTCCATTAGAATACAAGCCAAATCATGTTACTTCTTTACTTTAAAATCCAACAATGGCCAGGCATAAAGGCACACTCCTGTAATCCCAGCACTCGAGACTGAGGCAGGAAGATTGCTGTGAGCTCAAGTCCAGCCAGGGCCCCATAGTGGGTTCAAGGCCAGTCTGAACTCCATAGCAAAACAAAAACAAACGAAAAACCCATAACAAAAAAAAGCTAACAATAGTGGGGACAAAAAAAACATTGAAATTGGTTAAATAAGACTGCCTTCCTCAATGCAAATAGACCTCATACAATACCTTAATGGCCTAAATACAATAAAAGGCTGATAGGAAAGAATTCTCTTACCTTTGAATTTTTAAACAATTTTAATATAACACAAGTAGATACTAATAAAATACAAAAAGCACCCTTCTATAGAAAAAATTTCATTAACAAAATAATTAAACAATAACAGTGGCTAACATAGTTCATATAGACATAGTTCATATAATTATCTTGAAAGAGTGGCCAAAATGTCACTCAGAGTACAAGTCATAGACAGAGTGCCTTACAAAAAACAGACAAACTGAAGGACAAAAATTCCTTTTTAAGGCAACTCAGAGTGGAAAAACAATTTCGCCAGTTGTCCTTCAGACAAGGGACTAATATCTAGAGATACATAAAGAATTGAAAAAACAACCCCCTAATTTAAAGACTCAACCCAGAAATGGGCATCTGAGATGAAGATAAACTTAATCAGATGAAAAAAATGGCTGGGGATTTACCTCAGCAGCATATGTGCCTGCCTGGCAAACACAAGGTCATGAGTTCGATCCCCAGTACCAGAAAAACAAATGGCAAATAAATACATGAAAAAAATGTTCATCAAGATGCAAATTAAAACAACACTGAGATTCCATCAGTTCCATTCAGTTCTCTGGCTATCATCAAGAAATCAACCAATAACAAATGCTACTGGGATTGTGGGGGAAAAGGAACCCTTCTCCACTGTTAGTGGGAGTGTAGACTGGTACAAACCTCTGTGAAAATCAGTGAGGAGATTCCTAGAAAAACTAAAAGTAGAGGTCCCATTGGACTCAGCTTTTTCCCTTCTTGGTATCTTCCTGAAAGAATTAAAAGCATCATACCACAGTGATACATGTACACCCATGCTTATAGTGGCATACTTTGTAATAGCCAAATCTTGCAAACAGCCCAAATGCCTATCAACTGACAACTGGATAAAAAAGATGTGGGGTTTTTTTTACTGCAATTGAGTACTACTCAGCCATAAAGAAGGATAAATTTAAGAGATTTCTAGGTAGATGGATGCACCTTGAGACCATACCTTTTTTTGGTACCAGGGATTGAATTCAAGACTTCATGTTTGCCAAGCAGGCACTTACGCCACTGAGCTAAACACCCAGCCTGAGACCATACTCTTAAGTGAAATAAATCAATCACATGTATAAATATCTCATTGTTTCTCTAGTGTAAAAAACAGAGTATAAATAAGGACCAAAGTGTGCAATAGGAAAACATGGTTTAAAAGAAAGGAAACTAGGGACTGAAGTTGTGGAGAGGAAAGAAGGGAAAAGAAAAAGAATAAAAAGATAAAATGGAAACAAAGCTTTGTAAATAAGGGGACAAAGGGTTGAAGAGATTGAGAAAAAAGAACTAAGACATACTATGTACAGGTACAAATTCTGTATGATGAATGTTATTATGTATATCTACATTTTACCAATAAACTTAATTTTTTTTAAAAAAAAACTTTGTTTTCTTTTTTTTTTTTTTTTTGTCTTTTTCCTTTTTATCAGTACCGGGGATCAAACTCACGACTGCCTGCTTTAAAGGCAAGTGCTTATGCTGCTGAGCTAAATCCTCAGCCCCCAAAAACTTTGTTTTCAATAAACAAAAAGAAAGTACTATATGAAACAAGTTAGGATGTATCTTAAAATACTTTTGAAACAATGGAATAGGTAATTTGGTGGTGTTTGAATTTCTCCATAGTTCTTATTTATCTGTCTTCTATTTTGATACTTATTTATATATAGTGGAACAATACATGCATTCCCCTGAGTCTCCAAGTGGTAAACTGCAGATTTTGTTCTCAGCCTCCAGTATGATTAGCCAATTTCTTATAGTAAATGTGTGTTACCAAGTAACACTTTTTTTGTTTTTATTTTTATTTTTTATTTAAGGAGAAAAGGAAAAAAAACAGAAAAAGGGTACAAGTAATACAAAATTTAAAAAATAAACAGTAAGAAATCACTAGTTGATAGATTACATATTCTCATCTTAGAAATAGTTGTTCAAGTTACATTATTGAAGCATATAAAGTAGACTTTTTTTGGTCTTTTTCCTTTTTTATCAGTAAGGGGGATCAAACTCACGACTGCCTGCTTGCAAGGCAGGCACTTATGTCACTGAGCTAGACCTCCAGCCCCTCTCTCTCTCTCTTTTTTTTTTTAAATCGGTACCAGGGATCAAACTCATGACCGCCTGCTTGCAAGGCAGGTGCTTGTGCCGCTGAGCTAAAATCTCCAGCCCCAAAGTGGACTTTCAAACAGTGAGAGTGCAAACATTCTGTTCAATGATCCAAAAAACACTCAGTAATATGGTTATCCATCTCATACACTTAAACATACGTGCAGTTATAACCTTTAGAGCATTTTCTTTTCTTTTGTACAATGACAACTACACATTTTGGGTTTTATTACTCCCACAGTTCTTATTACTTTTTTTTGAAAAGAGTAAAACCAAATGCGACATATCAGAACACAGTCAGTCAACTCAAAAGGATGGACATAATAGAT